AAAAAAAAAAGTTATATTTCTGAAAATAATTTTAAGTTTTGTTTCAGATGCAGTTAATTATGGAAATAACTTGACTTTCCAAGATTGGCTGTTGGATTTGTTGGATGGGAGCAGGGCAGCTATTAGTGGCCACTGGTCTTCTAAGAAATCTACCTATCAGTGCATAAATTGTGTAGCTTTCTAGTCCAGCAGAAGAAGCATAAATTATCTCCAGCCACATTTGAGCATCTTCTTTTAGGTGATTTTCTTCCAATCTTGTTTTCTTTCTTTCTTTCTTTCTTTCTTTCTTTCTTTCTTTCTTTCTTTCTTTCTTTTTTTCTTCCTTCCTTCCTCCCTCCCTCCCTCCCTCCCTCCCTCTCCCCCCCTCCCACCCCCTCCCTCCCTCCTACTCCCTCTCTCCCTCTCCCTTCCTCCCTTCCTCCCTTCCCCTCTCCCTTCCTTTCTTTTTCTTTCTTTCTATATCTGACATGATTTCATATAACCCAGAATGGAGCTGAATTTGCTGTATAGCTGAAGGTGACCTTGAACTTCTGGTCCTTCTCTCTCTTCCTAGCAGGTGTGTACTACCATGCCCAGCTTTTGTTCAGTGCTACGAACTAAGCTGGGGCCTTTGTGTCTGCTAAACAACTCTATCTTATGTTCTTAGGAGCAATTGATGACCAGCACCTATTGAAATACTAGTTGTGAATATTTGAAACTTTCTTTCCGCCCTGCTGCTCAACCTGTGAACTCCGTGCACATTGACCTCATATCTGTTTAACCCAAGGTGGCACTGGGTTCCTACCAATGTAGCAGGGAAGCCACCTCAAGAAGTAAGATGGGACAGTCATGGGTGTATGAATGTCCTGGGCTGGCATAGTGAACATCACAGGTTTAGTCAGCAGGGTGATTTTCTCAGTGTGTGCGACAATGAAGATGCCTTGGGAATTTGCTTCTTCCGAGGCCCCTCTGGCTTAAAGATGGGTGCCTTCTTGCTTGACCTTGACATTTCTTTGTCATGCATGTGTTCCCTGCATTTTTGTGTATTTAAATTTTCTATTCTTATAAAGGACAAGTCAGATTGGCTTAGGGCTTATCAGAGTGGTCTCATTTTAGCATCAACCCCTCTCCAAACCCCACCACACTCTGAATTCTTGAGAAACAGGCTTTCAACTTAAACTTTCCGAGAAAGTGTTTAAGAGCATGTAACACAACTGCCTGTAACTATAGCTCCGTGTGGCCTCTACAGGCACCCGCATACATGTGCACATGCATATATTCACATGAGTAAAAAATAAAACAAAGTTTAAAAGAGAATTTAGAGAGAGAGAACTCAGCCTTTGGCAGTGGGGTTGCTCCCCTTTTCCAGTCTCTTGTGAATCACTATTCTGACTCCCAGTACACAGCTCTTTCACATTTTTTTGCCTATTTTTTAGTTGACTCAGGAGGGAGACAAACTGGTAACTTGTTACACCATCTTAACTAGAAGCAGAAAATTGTGGCTCTTTTTTAAGAGTAAAATATATTAGTTTTTTATTCTAGCTTTCCTTATGTTAAGGTGTTTTTATATTTTTAAAAGTTTACAATTTTTTTCTTACTTAAGTAAGTACCAAGACCATGGCGTCGGCATCATTGTTGAAAGTCCACCTACTTTTCCCTTGACTCTGAAATACAAGCGATCATTAACGCACGGGCACAGTGTAAGACTCCATTGCTGAGCCTTCTTTTGCTTTCCTTTGATCTGGTGTCGTATTCCTGGCTACTCTTGTATGTTCTTAATTTTAAAAGGTGCAAAGTTTGGATTTGCTAGTTGATGAGAAAGAACTAATTTCACGCCAATGAAAACGAATATAGGCTTAGCTTCTGTCTTCATTGCTGTAACGGTGATTGTGAGCTAAGTCAGAAGTTGCTTGTCTCATACAGATCTGTAGCCACTCGGGTGTTCAAAGGAAGAAGAACTGACTCCCTCTTGTGTTCAAGGGGACAACTGGCTCCCTCTAGTGGTCAAGGAAGGAGCTGGCTCCTGTGTCTTTTAGCCTCTTGTACCAAGAAGCATCACTCCAATCTTTCACAAGGCCAAGTTCCCTCTGGGAGTCCTGTCTTTGTTTCAAGTCATTCTCTCATAGGCATTTTAAGGAACTCTGTTGTCTTAACTTCATAGGTCTTCAAAGACCCAAACTTTAAAGAATCTTAAAATCTCTTGCACATTCCCAGGTACAAGAGATAACTTTATCTTATCCGTTACTCTGCTTTGAGAAGGAATCTCCTCTTGCTAGGCTGTTCTTGGTGATGCTCTTGTCTCAGTATCCGGAGCACTAAGATCGCCTGTGTTCTCCCCTTCCCACAGTATTCTCTCTGCTGCTATAGTGTTTTAGCCTTTGTAGAATTTCATGTAAAAAGAATCACACAGTAAGTAGTCCTTTTATTTTTGCTTTAAGGTAGTCTTTTTATATGGCTTCTTTTATTAAAAACATTCTAGAGATTTAGTACACTTAAAAATTGATAATTTAGTCTGTGTGTGTGTGTGTGTGTGAGAGAGAGAGAGAGAGAGAGAGCACACGCACGTGCATGCCTGGCAAGTGCCATAGTGGATGTGTGAGTGCCAGAGGGATTCTCTTCTCCCACCCTGTTGGATCGTAGGGACCCAACTCAGGTTGTCAGATTTGGTGGAAAGCATCTCCAGTAACTGATCTGCCTCTGGCATAGTTTCAATGTTCACCCTTTGTATGGGCTTTGTTTCTTTTTAAAGTCTAGAACAATATGCGGACTTAGCAATTGATAACCATTCAAATTGTTTTCATTTTTCCCTCCCTCCCTCCCTTCCTCCCTCTCTCCCTCCTTCCCTCCCTCCCTCCCTCCTTCCACTCTCACTGGAGATGACCCCCGGATCTTTATGCATCTTATACCCAAAAGGCCCTAAAAGACAACAGAAAAGACTTAGACAATATAAATATTTCCAGCAAAGTAGCAGAATACAAATGAACATAGAAAAATGAGTAGCTTTTCTTTATAGTAATAATGACTATGTCAAGAAAGAAATCAATCATTCACAAAAGCTCCAAAACCACTAAAAATAGACAGAAATAAAAATTTGCGGGAGTAAAGCTAATCGCAAAGGTAAAAGACTGTTACAATGAAAACATTGAAACACTGAAGACAGATATTGGAAAAGACACAGGAAGGCGGAAGACTTTCCTTGCCCATGGATTAACAAAATCAATATTATAAAAATGACTACATTAAAAATGGTAAATTATATATGTAATACAATTATTATGAGAATTCCAATTGTTTTCTGGGCAGAACCAAAAAAAAAAAAAACTCTTAAAATTTCTACAGAAGCACAAAAGGCTAAATAGAGACATGAAAGTACCTGATACCAGATTGGTGTGCTGGAATATGCTTTTAATTCCATCACTCCAGAGGCAGAGGCAGACGGAGGCTCTGTGAATCTGTGGCCAGTCGGGTCTGCATAGTGAGGTCCTGGCCAGTCAGGGCTACATAGAGAGACCTTGCTTCCAAAAACAAAGCAAAAACTGGCATTCAACTATACAGTAAACATGGACAAATGGGATAGAACCCAGAAATAACCCCCACAGGGGAATCCTACTTTGGACAAGGTCAGTCCCTTTAAAAATGGGTCAAGGAAACCAGATATCCACAAAAGAAAGTTTATCCCTGTGCCTTACCCTGTAAACATTTTGATTCAAAAGGGATGAAAGACTTTAATATAAGACTTGGAACTCTGAAATTGTTGGAGAAAAACATAGGCAAGTCACTCTGCGATATAGGCACAGGTGAGGATGGTTTGAAAGGATTATAATAATGAGGAAATTGATCCCAAGAATTATCACATGAGACTGCATGAAAGTGAAAAGCTCTGGTAGACAAACAAACAAACAAACAAACAAACAAACAACAACCCCAGGAACAATCACCAGAGTGATGGGACGGCCTATAGAATGGAAAAAGAGTCTCTGCTAACTATGTATTTAAAAGAGGATTAATATGTAGAATATGTGAAGAACTTAAAAGATTAAGCTCCCCAAATCCCAAATCATCTAATGAATAAATATGGAAATAAGTTGAATGGGCAGATCTCAAAAGAAGAAACACAAAATGGTCAACAAATACATTTAAAAATATTTGGCATCCCTGGACACCAGAAAATTCTAATTAAAAGTGCATTGAGAATCACTGTCATCCATCAGAATGGCTATTATTGAAAAAATAAATATCATGTAGTTTAGGTGATGAGTGGGGACAGAGGAACCCTTATAGTGAGCTGGTAAGAATGCAAGCACATATAGCTACTATGGAAATCACTGTGAAATTTTCTCACAAATCTAAATACAGAGGTGCAGTGTGAACCAGATATATCACATCTGGGTATGCACTGAGGGATAAAACAGAGCTGTTTAGTTGGCCCTTCATATTCTTGCAGCTTTAGCTACAACAGTCAAATGTGAAACCATTCCATCACCAAATGAGTGGATAAAGAAAATGAGGAGAACCCTGGCTTCCGTGGGACCAGAGAGACCTCTAGACCAGATCGCCAACCCCGTGGAATCAGAGGTCAGTATAGGACAAAAACTTCAGCTCTGGGGTGCCCAGAGTTCCTAGAGAGACTGACTACAAGCTTAAATATTATAGATAAGTATCTATTAACTTATATTTCTTAATTATACATTACATTTTTTAAATGAACTACACAATCACAATACCTTAATCAATAGATAACAAGATTGACCTTAAACTTGTATCAATAAACCAAGATCCATATCAATGCAAACCTCTATAGAATATCCCCCTTTAAATGTAAACAAACATTTATAGACAATATTTGGGAACATGGGCATAGGTTTTTCCATACTCCTTCCTGCTG